AGTTGCTTGTAGTGGTGTGGAGGAGTCAAGTTTATTCGGGAACCAACTTGAGCTCAGCTTGATAAATAGCTCGTGAGCCGAAGCTCGAGTCAGTCTTGACTCAACTCTTTAGCTTGTGACCTAGCTCATTTAAAAATTATATTAATATAAAATACACTTAAGGATATATTAGAATTCAATATTTTTAAGTATTAATGATATATATTAAAAATATTTAAAGACATAAATCAATTTCTTATATCAAATATTTTTTTTATTGTTTTTTCTTAATTTCTCAATCTTTTTTTAATTTCATTCTAATAATTAATTGAATCAAAATCACTTTCTCTCTTTAATAGTAAAAGAGCCCGTGTGTGAGCTAATTATAACTTGTATAATTAAGCTCAAACTTGAACTCGTTTAATTAATCAAGCTCAATCTCAAACTAGAAATGCGGCTTAACTTGTTTACACTTCTTATTGCTAGTAAAAGAAATATGGGCTTAAGTATTCAAATTGTGCATGTAATTAATATTTTGTTACTCTTTTTAAATGAAAATTGACTGAAACTTAATTAGATATTTTTCTTGTGCTTTTTGTTTTTTTATCTCTCCCTATGACAAGTAGGGGTGTCAATATTTGACACAACCCGAAAATTCGACCTAAACCGAATCCCAAAATTTCTGGTTCGAGTCATCCCGAATCGGGTCGGGTTTGGGTTCCGGTTGACTAGAAAACAAAAATTTAAATCAGGTTTGACCCATTTTTAATTGATTTAGAAAGGTTTTAAAAGATTTTAATGAAATAAGTAAATATTATTTCCAAAACATAATAAATTAACCATGTTGCTCAAACTGAATTAAGCATGATTTATTTAAAAAATAAATAAATAAAAAATTGGTTTATTTTAAAATATTGAAGTAAATATTACTTTAATTTCATTTAGGTTTAAATAAATCAAATTAAATAAAAATATTTTAGTAAAACATAAAAGAAGCAGGTTGGGTTCGGGTTGATCCGAACTCGAAGCGGGTCGGGTTCTGGTCCGAAAAATCGACCTGTTTGCAAAAACGGGTCGGGTTATAGTCGGGTTAAAAAGTGTTGAGTCAGATTCAGGTTCGACCCGAACCCGACTCGAAATCCGTTTTTGACAGTCCTAATCAAAAGCCTATATGCCTCTCTTCTCACTTAAAAAATACCTATCAATTAAGTATTCATTCAATCAACACCTAAAAGTCTCATACCATCTATCATACATGAATTGTATTGCCAGTCTGTCTGATCGAACAGTCTGATCGATGTATTTCAAAACAAAAGACTAAGAAAAATCAAGAAATTAAATGAAATAGAAACAGTTGTTTAAAGCTCTCATGCCCATCAAACAGTATATAATACTTTTTGGACCATTTAAGCTTTTGCAGTCAATATTGCGCGCAGAGAACTGTTCACCATACCTATCTCTATTTCTGTAGATGAGCAGTATCATCATCATCATCATTTACAGGGTATAGTTCCCATGTGAAACCCTAGAAAGGCTATAATTAAGTGGGCAAAACCCTGTAGAACAATGCAGATCATACTGTAGCAGAAATAGATGAATGGAACAAATCTTAATAGTATTTTCATGAAAAAGTATCAGCTTCTCTTCTGTATATATGTGGTAGTTATTATCCGGCGTTTCCATTTTAAGGAATCAAAGAACCATAGAGAAATTTTAAAAAGGCAACAAGAGTACAGAAAGATTTCAGTTGCCTATAACTCTATAGTTGGTTTCCTATTTTTTGTTCATTCTCTATAGTTGATTTCATGGGAGTATAATGTTAGCTTTCTCTTTTAAAATCTAGCTACCTTAGTTTCTTAGAAAAAGGCTAGAGAGAGAAAGGGAGGGAAAGAGACCAGAAATAGTTCAGTTATTTAAAACTCTATAGTTGTTTTCCCTTTTTTTTGTTCATTCTCTATAGTTGATTTCATGGGAGTATGATGTTCATGGTTTTATAACTCTATAGTTGGTTTCCTATTTTTGCTCAGTCTCTATAGTTCATTTCATGGGAGTATAATGTTTATGCTTTCTCTTTAAAAACTAGCTACCTCAGTTCTTTAGAAAAAGAGAGACAGAAAGAGAGAGAGGGGGGAAAGGGAAAGAGAGAGAGAGACAGATATATTATTATAGTACTCATCATATGTTGTGTATTTGATTCAAAAAAAATATTTAATATATTTTCATGAATGTTGACATAATAGACTTTAGAGGATAAAAAAATGTTTTTTTTTTAATGTTATAATATAATTTAGAGGATTTACATACATCTCATAAAATTTATTTTTACATATCCATCATCTAAATCTTTATATTTATGTATATATTATTTAAGAATTGAAATTATATTAAATTTAATACATGAAAAAAATGTATTTTATTTTCAGTAAGTTTTTATTAATGATATTTTTAATAAGATTTAGCAAATTTAGTAGTATATAAATAAGTATAAAAATTTAGGTGCTAAATTTGTAAATATTTAAGAATTTTATTATATGCTTGTAAATCCGTGTTTTGAAAAAAATATCATGAATTTGATCTAAACTATTGAACAATAAATATTAACATTTTTCTTGGTTGTATGTTTAGGGAGAAATATGCAGAATAATTATTTGCATGGAACTAATGACATCTTATTTGAAGTTGTAACTAAATAAAGTTAATAATGCATGAAAATAATGCAATATTTCATTGAAGGATGACAAAATAAAACTCAATACATCATAATACTATAGGAAAATCGTCAATTACCGACGTATTTTTCCGGCGGCTTATCGGCGAACTATTTTCCGACGGCTTTTCGGCAACCTAATTTTTCAGAAGAATTTCCGACGGCTTTAATTAATTAATAATTTTAGTTTATTTTAATTAATTATTAATTTATTTTAATTAATTATTAATTTATTTTAATTAATTATTAATTTAATAACTTAGTCTAGTTAAGTATTAATATAATAACATATTTAATTAATTATTAAT